AAGATATGAGAGGAATGAACAAACATTGGACAGAACTGGAGAGGGAAGGCCAGGACAGAGTTGGTTGGAGAAAACTGGTGGGCGGCCTATGCTCCATTGGGGGTAACAGGCTTAAGTAAAGTAAAAGTAAAATAAAATTGAATTCTAACACGACAACTGACCAACATGCTAGTAGTATTAATCGGATATCTCGAACTTCACCTTCAATCAAGGTGTTGAATAAACTGTGTGAGTACACTACAAATGAAAATGTATAATCTGAAACGAATACCAGCTTATATAACAATCATCCAATAATCGTAAACACCGCATCTTATCATCATCTCTAAATTATCGATACATGACACATTCATGATAGAAGTTAAGTTAAATCAATCCAACATTCAATACTAGTAATCTTATCTACCGCGTGAATTAACTAATGACTTCGATGAAACAGAATAATGTAATGACCGGACTGTTGACAGCTTGATAGTTGCAACATTTTCCATCAGACCAACAAGTTAGATTGAAGCAATAGTTTGTCTAACCTATTTAGTAAAACGTGATCTCATCATCAAGAAAATCAATACTCAGAGTTATCAGACAAAGTCTGATTTCTGTATATTCAGATGTCCTATTCACCTAGAACCAAATACACTGCAAATTCGACGAATCACAAGTCAACAACTAACTGTCAAAGTGGAATCACAACAATATTGGTTAATTTGACAATTGACTAATTCATTGATATTTTAAACTGTCGTACTGATTATACGCACATCAATTCAATAGTACAGTGCACAAACGTAATATGCATTGAATAATGATGCACTTAACAAGTCATATCAATTCAAATCCATATTGAGAAAAAGAATATATAAATGCTGTATTGCAAACACTTACCCATCATCAACACAAACATCAAACAAACATTACCATTACAACAATCAAGAAAATGAAATCATCAATCATATTCGTATTCTTAGTAGCCATCGGTTACGCCGTGGCCTACCCTCCATCGTACGACTCTGATGGTTGGTACGGTGGTGGAGGTGGTGGTGGTGGTGGAGGTGGTGGTGGAGGTGGCGGTGGCGGTGGCTATGGTGGTTGCAGTGGTGGTGACTGTGACATTTATGGTGGCGATGGCGGCTATGGAGGAGGTTGCAGTGGAGGTGACTGCGGGTACGGTGGTGGTGGTGGTGGTGGCGGCGGCGGTTGCAGTGGTGACGATTGTGGTAGTTACGGCGGTGGTTATAATGGTGGATGCAGTGGTGGATCTTGTGGAGGCGGCTTTGATGAAGCCTTCCCTGCTCCTTACGGTGATGATTACAATAACGGTGGGAGCGGTCGGAAAAAACATCGTAGAGGTAAGCATGGTGGTAAGGGTGGTGGGAAAGGCGGCAAAGGCAAAGGCAACCAATATAGAAGCAGTTACTAAGGCACCAATCATATTGTGGATCATTCTACTGTGCCTGTGTCACAATATACACTGTTCTCTTCTTCTACACAATACTCAATTCAACTCAATGTAATGTAGTTGTGTTTTTAATTCGAGATAAATAAAACTCATCAATTATAAATTGTGTTTTCTATGTATGTTTCAATGTAGGTTTTTTGAATGAACAGATATTTGTTTCTGTGATATTTCGACGCGTTGCGAAATCGGTGTTGTTTGTAGGTAGGTGAATGTCACAATTCAGTGACTTGAATTCATAAGTACAGGAAACTATGCATGGATTCTGTCGATTGTGGAGATTGTCATAATCTCTTAATTTATCGACATATCTCAGTCTGTTTGCTCACTGATTTAGATTGTAGGCAAAACTGTAGTTTGAGTATGTTTCACGCCTGAAATTTGAACAGAGATATTTGATCTCACAGACTTACTCTATGACTTGATATTCTCTTGTTTGTAGGTGTTCCCATAGTGTTTGCACAGTGGCTCAATTGAATTAGTCAGATGAAATATTTTGTAGTTAGAACACTGTTGAACTTCAACTGCACCGAATCATTGTTATTCCATTCCACACAAATTCCACGCACTGTTTTGTAGTGATTATTTTAAGTCTGTTTATTCACTTTTGACCTACTATTGATAAAACTTTCGTTATCGTGATTCCATCCCATACAAATTGATCACCATGAGGTGATCACAAATTTTCATGATACTTCTATAATTCTACTGTTGTAGATAGAATGCATGCTGCAATGTGAACAGACGGAGAAATAGTCAAATAATCAGTAATGGAGACAAGACATTGCGCATTATTTGACATCACTTCAGTCTATGCATAAAGTTACATGCATCTTCAAAACTCGACTCGTTTGTTGTACAACTCCTCTATGAATGACTAGACTGTAAACTTCTAGTGTTTCATTCGCCACATTGTGTCACAACAACAGATTCACATATATTTTGTCAATCACTTGTAGAAAATTCCTTTTGCTAACTACTATCTATCTATCTATCTATCATACAACCGAATTCATGTTCATTAGGTCTTGAGGGTGAGCATTGTTTCATAGTTGAATTCACTTGCACAATCACATCTATCAATCAAGTCTTATGAAATTGTTACGTTTCCGAATGAAGTGATGTATGGTCAGATGTACATTTCTAATAAATTCACTATGAAGCTCTGAAAATTTTGTTCCTAATCAACCATAAACTCTGTAAATTGATATTATTTGCAAGGTTAACACGTATAAATCATGAAACCGATTGTTGGTTTCATGTGCTTTTCGTCTTGATAACATGCAACATGTGTCATTTGTGAAATTGGAAGTTCAATGAATTAGTTTTGGAACGTGAAGTGTGGTGTTCTACAGTCGGTTCAGCAATATGATTTGTATTGCGAGAAATGTTATGTCAGTGCAATTGTTAATTAGGTATGTCATAATTTTATCATCATCCAAGATAATCCATATTGTTGTAAACTATTACTGACTAATCACTTATTTTATAATCTAATATGCTGCATATTAGACACTTTTATTTTGGTTCTCATTTCTTTCTTTATTATATCTTTTCTTTTTTGACCGCTCATTTTAAATGAAAAAGATACTCAAGTTGTTTAATTATGATGATTGTAAATTTTGTCTTAAACTCGTAAGGATAATTAGATTTTTGATGATTCCCTAAAATGTTTACTTTAGAAACTACAACAGTGAAGAAGCTGTTCGTGAATACTTATAGCATAATGATATTTAACAATATTGGTCGATAAAAATTCGATCTGACATGCAGTCAGATCATAAATAACAACAAAGGTATCTGTGATGAAATCGATAAAGAAACGTTTTCGATTATCGTTAACATGATATATTTCTGCAAAATGATATCTAAAGGCTAATTTACTCTATTAACTGACCATTTCGCCATTACTTGCCCTAAATGAATCGAAGATTTTGATTTCTGTTGATATAAATGACCGACTACAACGGTGGGCAGTCACACTATTGTAATATGATATTTTTAAATTAGGTGCCTACAACGGTCAGCTGACAAAGGGATTGCTTATGAAGGTTTAGTTTTTGAGACGAAAGTAGCCGGCGATACTCTCATGACAGTAATAGAAGCTTAGAAAGTAATTCTTCGAGTGTCAGATGATGCAGTTTGTCCACTATCGGTCACCTTCGACTATATCAAGAAGGTCAGTGAAAATGAGAAGACATTAAAAGGAATTAGGGGTTATGCTCTTGTATGATGGTCGTACTATTGTTTATAAAGAGAGTTTATACAATAATTTCATCATCGTGGCTCGTGTTATGTTTCGTGACCAAATTTTCGCTACATAGTTATTGTGCAAAAACTCCTCAATCTTCACTTTCGAATGAAAGGGATGAAATCCTTTGTTTGAAGCTACATTAACTGGATTTCAACAGACACTGATATCAGTGTTAAATACCATATCTGTTCATCTAGCCTACGAACCGCTAAAAATCCTGCGAAATATTTCCTACAGCCTTAATCTAAGACTGAGAGACTTTGAAAGCGGCATCATGCCAGTTTAGCTGGTCTAGCATGAAGAGAAATGCTCTTAGTTGTTTTGGATGGCTTCGCAAATATTTATGTTGTTGGACTGTTAAGCCAAAGAAATGATCAACAATTTGTCTTGTTGTCTTGTCAAAGAAAAACCTTGGTAGCAGATAATGGCTTTCAATTCGCTTCGAACTCATTCAAATATTTTAGTAATGTGAATAGAATCAATCACTTTCGCTTTTTTGTTATGCTATCCTGCTCAGTCTAATGGACAAGCAGAAAGCATCGTGAATGCTTTCAAAAGAGCATTGCTTAGATGGAAAGATTAGGAATCACCGAATCAAGTAATCATTAGGTTGAAAGCATATTGTCAGTACTAGCTTCGACATTGTTGCACTGAATAGAAAGTCACCAGTAAAAATAAAATTTTGGAAAAATTATCAGCACCACAAAACTACTTGAAAAAATGGATGGACATAGACAAAGTGACCGGAAAAGTGTTTATCAAGTCAAATCATGGCTACAATTGGCGAGAGTTGATCACATCGAATACGATGCATTAGATCTGACAATGACTGAGAATGTAGTAATGTTGATACATAGTGACGTCTCATGATACACTCACTCTCATATTTATGAATGGCTGGTCAGAAAATGTTGACCTTAAAACAAAATTCTTAAAACTCTCTTTCAACTCAACTCTGTTTAGATTACTAAATGCCTTGAAGAGATGGATGTGTCGTTTTATCATGTTGTATGCCTCTTTGCGTTTCATCTATAACCTACCATTAAGACAAATTCGTCTACCTAAAAACAACATTGATTTTGCAACACTTTGAAATATCACAGAAACGAATATCTGTTCATTGAAAAAAACATACATAGAAAACACAATTTATAATTGATGAGTTTTATTTATCTCGAATTCAAACACAACTACATTACATTGAGTTGAATTGAGTGTTTGTGTAGAAGAAGAGAACAGTGTATATTGTGACACAGGCACAGTAGAATGATCCACAATATGACTGGTGCGTTAGAAAGGGATTGGATATGAGGTGTATCTGTTATTGCCTTTGCCATTTCTGCCACCTTTTCCCTTACCCCTCCCCTTTCCACCGCTGTTGTACCTGCCACTGCCTCCTCCACAAGATCCACCACTGCATCCACCATTATAAGTACCACCGTAACCACCACAATCGTCACCACTACAACCGCCACCGCCACCACCACCACCACCTCCGCCGTACCCGCAGTCACCTCCACTGCAACCTCCTCCATAGCCGCCATCGCCACCATAAATGTCACAGTCACCACCACTGCAACCACCATAGCCACCGCCACCGCCACCTCCACCACCACCTCCACCACCACCACCACCTCCACCACCGTACCAACCATCAGAGTCGTACAATGGAGTGTAGGCCACGGCGTAACCGATGGCTACTACGAATACGAATGTGATTGATGATTTCATTTTCTTGATTGTTGTAGTGGTAGTGTTTGTTTGATGTTTGTGTTGATGATGGGTAAGTGTTTGCAATACAGCATTTATATATTCTTTTTCTCAATATGGATTTGAAATGATGTGGCTTGTTAAGTGCAACATTATTCAATGCATATTACGTTTGTGCACTGTACTATTGAATTGATGTGCGTATAATCAGTATGATAGTTTAAAATATCAATGAATTAGTCAATTGTCAAATTAACCAATATTGTTGTGATTCCACTTTGACAGTTAGTTGTTAACTTGTGATTCGTCGAATTTGCAGTGTATTTGGTTATAGGTGAATAGGAAATCCGAATATACAGAAATCAGACTTTGTCTGATAACCCTGAATATTGATTTTCTTGATGATGAGATCAAGTTTTACTAAATAAGTTAGACAAACTGTTGCTTGAATCTAACTTGTTGGTCTGGTGGAAAATATTGCAACTATCAGACTGTCAACAGTCCGTTCATTACATTATTCTGTTTCATCGAAGACAATAGTGAATTAGGGCGGTAGATAAGATTACTAGTAATGAATGTTGCATGCGTTCAAAATAACTTCTATCAAGAATGTGTCATGAATCGGTAATGCAGAGATGATGATAAGATATGGTGTTTACGATTATTGGATGATTGTTATATAAGCTGGTATTCGTTTCAGATGATACATTTTTATTTGTAGTGTACTCACACAGTTTATTCAACACCTTGATTGAAGGTGAAGTTCGAGATATCTGATATTACTACTAGCATGCTATTGCTGTGCGTATTTCTCTAAAGACTAAATGGTAGACTACAATATAATTTTATTAGTGATGTACCCAAGGAATATGTTCCGTAACATTCGACAATCCTAGAAAACGTCTCCTGGATCCTGTAACTACTTCACAACTTCTGTGTTTTTAAGTGAATGGATATGTGAATACTGCTCTCGTACTGGTGTTTGAAGAAGTTTCATTCCTACAACGTAATACTAATCATTACATCTTCACGAAACAAGCCTATTTCCCAGTGAATCAGTGAAAATAAAGTTTTCAATCTCTCGAAATTACACAGAATCAAGTAGTGATTGTGACCATTCACACTGACATGTGATATTTGAATTGATTGATTTTATGCACATTTCCGAATATTATTGAGATGATGATGAGACATAATGAGAGTTCATGACTAGTGTATTTCAATCTTGTCGGGTTTGAGGAAGTTGCTCACACAAGACTGTCGAAGATGGTTACTCGGTAATACAAGTTGACTGAAGTTAAGACTGCGACACACAACTGTCTATTCAAATCCCATAATAATAGATGTGATGGGAGTGTTAGCGGTAATGTAGACTATATCTCTCTAATCTAATCAAAGTTAAGACTGGACACTGTTGGACTCCGATTCAGTGGATCTAAGGTAAATCTCTCTGGACAGGAGTTAACAGTGCCGGCTTCGAACAACAAATGGAGTTGTGTATTCGTATGGCTGAATCCTTAGTATAAGGAGACAGCTTGGCAGTGATTCCCATTTCTCAATAGTTGTCTGTTTTAAGTTGGTTTGTGATCTCAATAAAAAACAAAATGTAACAACAGAAAGCGATCGGACGAAGGATTTCTTAATCATCACTACACTGCATTAAATCAACAGTTTGAATAAGTCAAACTCGTTGAATAGCATGAACGATTTGTGTTCAGGGAATGAGGGAACTTTGAAACACTCTACAACCACTCACCACCTTTTCCTCCTCATTTCTCGTATTCACATTTCATCATCAATCACATATGAAACTAGGTTTCTTTACTCTACAAAATATTGACAACAATAATCATAGTGGCCTTATTCTATGCTGAATGCTTAATACTACGTCGAGTAGTTAGGATGCAATCATTCAACAAATTCCACTCACTCGTCTTATATGTCATAGAAGGTTCATAGACTTACTTATGACTGATTGTTGGAGTATAATTGTGAAACATTTTAATAAAATGCTTACTACAGAATATAAATCTGCAAAACAGTGACTAAGCAACAGACTCAAGCATACAGACTTGTGATTAGGTCAGAAATTATAACCCATTCATCTCATAGTTAAACACTGTTAGTGGAAGTTGTGTAGTTTTGTTTGCGTTCACGAATTTCAATTTCAGAACAGGTATCCACCGATATAAATGACATTTGAGATAGATACGAGTGTGGAAATCGACTAGATTGTAATGAACTAAAGATGAGTAAGACTACCATCACATAGGTTGGTGTCACCACAAGTGACTGAGATGGAATCACTGAAGGCACTAGACTGACACACGTTTATATTTACAAGTGAGGTACACCATCATCTCATCTATTCTCATTACCTGATCAACCTTGACAGCAAATTTTGAAGCCATCTGTTAGTGCCAAACTATAGTAATGTGAATGACTAATCAAAGTTCTTGAATTGACATGTTTAGCCTATGTAGAAATTGCAGAATGTTCAGCCATCTAGTAGTAAATAGTTCAGGGATGGATATCTGTTTAGCATTGATCGATTTGAGGTCAGTCAGCTACAACATCAATCTTTGTATGCACGTAGATCAATTGAGTTTTCCATAAGACATTAACTCAGACACACAATTGTCGATTCAAATCCCACATTAATAGTTGGGGTGTGATTATTAGCGGTAATGCAGAAGATCAGCGATCGAACATATTATTAAAGAAGTTTAATCCAGTGTAATAAACTTTGACGAAAGAAAAGAAGGTGATGATTATTGCAGAAGAATACAGTTAGAGAGAAGAGACGGAATGGATGCACCTGCGCCGTTCAAACCATTTCGAGAAATATTGTTCAATGTCTCCAACTATCGGTCTCTGGAACCTCAAACCTGTGGTCTACATCTACCGACATGTCTCAGTCCAGTTGTCGATAACTTCATGGATTTGTGGCGGTTTTTATTCTATTAGACCCTATATTTGTTTCAACCTTCTCCTTCATCACCAAACATTACTCGTCGTGGTAGTCGATGGCTGCTTGATAATACGTAACAGATGTCTGAACCAGCTCAATCGATGAACATTCACTAGTTCATCTGTTGATCTACAATGCTTACCTAGTACTCGTTTCCTAACAACAGCATTGCTTGTTGGATTGTCACACGATATACTAACAATGTTTCTTAGACATGCATGATCAAGATCTCGCCTGCGCCTTCAGTGATGTAGGTTGTTGAAAGCTGGTCGGGGCTTCGGCAGCCATGATGAGATTTTATCAGTCATCAGGCCGTCAGCACTGATGAGACTGTCAAGATAATAGAACCAGTCAACCTGCTCGACTGCTTCACTCCCTATCAGTAGTTCAGGTGTCAATGCGACTCAATCTTGTTGCATCATTTTGTATTTCAACTGGGTAAACCGCATCCCGACCATGCTTGCATTCTTGCCTAGGGAAGTTAGAAGACTCTGCATTTTGTCAGCGTCTTCACTAAACAGAACTATGTCACTAGCATGTTCTAGGTCAACAAATTAGTCGGTGGGTAGAAGTTGAATTCTTGAAAATTCAGAAGAAAATAGCGTTATCTCTGTACGATGTAAACTGAGGTGGGATTGCGGAATAACTGTTCAGTAAGTTTAGATCCAAAAGAATTGATTGGGTAAGTAAAGGTTCTAAACAATACTACTGTATTATTCCTTTCATTATTCGAAAAAATGATATTCCATGTTTATTATAACACAGTGTTCCCAATTCTGGAAGAGTGCTCCGATTTCCAATCCAAATTGCTCACTTTCAGTCCGTGTCAGTGTTATAACGGCAAGAGGAACAAAATCAATATAGGTGTCTCCATAAGTGAGTATCAACTTAAACAACACCATGCAGTTTGGAACGAAACACGGAAACTCAAGAAACGCACAAAAATAGAAACTATTACAAAATACAAATATTAACATCCCAAAATGGAATTGAACAGATCACCAAAATGCAGAACTGAAAGAATAGATAAGAACATATTAGAAATGTATACATGGAGGGATTTTCATAAACAAAGGCTTCCAAAACGGATCTTACAATCTCTTAAAGCATGTTGATAACAAAGTTGAATAACAATGGCGAAAGTGGACAACCCTGATGAACAACACTTAAAGTAATCAATGCCGATGACAGTTCACCATGAGCTTTCACTCGACAAGTAGTGTTCCAGTTCAGATATTTTTTAAAGTTAATGTACTTCTCTGATACTCCTTCTAGTGACAGACACTGCCAAAAACCTCACGGTTAACCAAGTTAAATGCCGCCTTACGGTCGAAAACGCTATTGTGGGACTTCAAAATATGCGTGTATGTCGTAGGACCTAGCGTAGTGTGAATATGTGGTCTATACAGCCACGTCCATGTCTGAAACCAGCTTGATCTTCCCAGGTTTACTCTTGGGCGTCTAAGTATGATCAAAGCTAATTCCGCTGTGATTGTCACAAGAAGACTTTTGTCCTTTCTTATAAATCGGAATAATCAGGGATTAAGTCCAGTTGGATGGGATTAAGTCCGGTTCCCTAATTCTAACTGATATTTCAGCTAATCAAAGTATCCTTGAGAATCTCAGCGGTTAACCTATCAGGACCCGCTGCTCTCCCTCGCTTCGGAATTCCTATGGCTTTTCTTAATTCACTAGGGCTTGGAGTACCCATATCATCTTGCCGTTGAAGGTCGAATGTAGGTCATGGGTAACGGAAGTGTTGCTGAATGCCAGTTGAACTGATCCCTAAAGCGTTCTACCCATGGGTCCACTCTCCTGGATTAAAAATGAATAATAAGCCCATCCTTTTCCGATATAGTTTCGCCAACAAATCTATCTCTGGTACCAATTTCCTTGATAAGCCGTTAACTTTTTCATCACTTTTCACTGAGATCCACCGCTTCTCCCTAACATTATGGTTTACTTTACTAGTAGATACCACTGCTGAATCCACAGCTTTTTGGATATCATTCCAAGCTGCCTCCGGATGGAGATCACTTACACGATCGCC